AAATCACTCTGAACAATGTTGGGATGGTATCTATGGCTTCCGTTTAGCACAAGCCTGAATCATTTCACAACTGTACAACGTAGACAAATTCTTTACAAATGAAAGCCAGTTTGTGAAACGTGGGTCTTTAGGAAGAGATAGATTGCACTGCATATCTTCTTGCTTTAGAAGTAGATCATTCAGTATCGTTCATAAATTCCCTTGCCTGCTCAAATAGAATCCTTAAGTTGTTTCTGAAGGAGCCAGTACTGTACCTAACACTATGCATCAGGTTTCACTGTCAATTCTATTATCTATTTCCTTCCACATTAGCAATTCGCCAAGAACTAAGTTTTACTAAAGATTCACAGCAACTTATCCAGTTATTTTGTGTGACTTGCAAGAAGAATAGCTTAGAAGTCAAGCTGTGAGCCATTCACTTTTAGTTGCTTAACAATAACCTGTGATGCACTAAACAGTAGGTCACCTAGTCTGAAAAGTTCAGCCTCGATTTTAAAATGCAACTTGCTGTAATTTCGCTTGGTAGTAGAAAAAGTGTTTTGAGTGGTTTAAGTTGATTTAAACCCTGATTGTAAATTTGCTATTACGTAACTTCAGTTGTCATACTCCTTTTATAACTATGTCTAATTGAAAGTGTAATACCAAACCTTTAGATGAATAAGAAGAGGAAGGCAGAGGACCTGGATATCCTAATTCTGGAGTGTTACTATATCATGATATCTAATGATTATGTGAATTCTAGATTTCTTGTGATATAGTAAGCTATTGCTTTGCTTTGTAGGCCAGGGTATTGGAGCTGTGGTGGTAAGGGCTCTCAACAGAAATTCCTGCTTTTTCAGATGGAGGCAAGATCTGGACCATCTACACTCCAGCAGCTATAGTCCCCTTTCTTGGGTTATTCTTTCTTCTTCTCAGGGCTAAAATAAACTTGCTTTTTTTTCTTAGAACTTGAGAACTTCTTTTTGCAGCAGATTGTGATCTTAAACACTGATTGGATGACCACGTGCAACTCGAACAAAGTACCTGATCTAGCTCACTGGAGTATAATTAAAACTGGTACTCTTCCTTGTCAGTCAGAAATAAATTTCTGTATTTTCTTGAGCATGTTCCATCTTGTATAATTACTCCTATTTTTATTTTACAGAAGCATTAAAAGAAATAGATGATGTCTATGAAAAATACAAGTCAGAAAATGATCCTGTTCAGAAGAAACGCTTGCAGCAGCATCTCCAGCGTGCATTAATCAACAGCCAAGAACTCGGAGATGAAAAAATTCAGATAGTTACTCAGATGCTAGAACTGGTAGAGAATAGAGCCCGGCAAATGGAAACACACTCTCAATGTTTCCAAGATCTGTCTGAGAATGAAAAGCCTCTAGAAAAGGCGAAGATGGAGTCCTGCCAGCCAGAGAGATCTTCACGTAGACCTCGCCGCCAGCGAACCAGTGAAAGCCGTGATCTGTGCCATATAGCAAATGGCATCGATGACTGCGATGATCAGCCCCCTAAAGAAAAAAGATCTAAATCTTCCAAGAAGAAAAAACGCTCCAAAGCCAAACAAGAGAGAGAGGTTTCACCCGTAGAATTTGCCATTGATCCAAATGAACCAACTTACTGCTTATGCAACCAAGTGTCTTACGGTGAAATGATAGGATGTGATAACGAACAGTGTCCTATTGAGTGGTTCCACTTCTCGTGTGTTGGACTCACCTACAAACCAAAGGGCAAATGGTATTGCCCCAAGTGCAGAGGAGACAATGAGAAAACCATGGACAAATGTACTGACAAATCAAAAAAGGACAGAAGATCGAGGTAGTGAAAGCAATTCATGTTTTAAAGAGTTGCTCCTTTTATATTAAAATGTGTAATTTCCAGAGAACGCTGTTTTAGGAAATGCATAAGACTATGCAATAATTTTTAATCTATAATATTAATGGAGTATTAAAAGCTGTTATACCTTCTGTGATCTTAACTTTCTGCACTGAATAACCAAATAATTGAAACAGGGTGGCTTCAGACCTTCACAGAAGACATTGCAAGCATATGGCGCTTGGTTTCAATTTAACCCCATTAGTCTTTAAAAGAACCTTGTGAATCTTGAAATAATGGTGGTGGGAAAGATACTGAAGAACTTCTCATGTTATGGAAAGGCATTGAAAGTCCTCACTTAACTGCTAGGATCTTAACTGAATTTGTTCTTTATTCCATGTCTTAAGTTACCAGTTTTTGTGTTAACATCACACATTTGGAATTAGGTTTTATGAATTCAGCTGTAACTGTAAAAGTCTTCCAAGCTAAAAGCAGACCTCTTCAGTGACTTTCGTATGACCAGTATGTTATTTCAAGGAAGAAAGTACCACTAACTTAAGCTTTTTTCTTTTTTCTTTTTTTTTTTTAATTATTTTGCCTTTTTTCTTTTTTTTTTTTTTTTCCCATTATTAAACTCTTGTCTTTGTGACTTTACATTTGGGAGTCAATTTTTGGATATGATAGAATTATGGTGTATATGTAGTTTGGGAAATTCTTAGTAGGTTTTGTTTGAGTTCTATCTAGCGTACTGATTGTCATCTTTATTAAGATGGTCTCTCTAATGCCAAAACTGTTTCCTTGATTGTTTTGCCACTGCCTATATAAGCCTTGAAAGGGGATATTGACAGAAATCACAAATGTGATGAAATCTTCATCATAATCAATCTCTGAGAGCTGAGACATGACTGGTATTCTCTGGGATGTAAACTTTGCTTCCCCTGAAGTGATATTCACGTATGTGTGTGGCCACACCTGGCTTTAGGTGCAGCACCACAGCTCTTGAACTTAGGCAAGTATCTAAAAAGCCTGAAGGCAAAAGCTGTCAATAAAAGTTTTGATAGATAATAAAAACTATAAGCATGACTGGCACAGAGCCAGCAGACAAATCCCAGCAGGTTTCTGACAGGCTGTGTAAGGGTCTTGTCCTGAAGTGTGCCAGTAGTGTCCAAATCTACTTGGGTGGTAGTTAAAAGTGAACTTCCTCTCCTCCATACCCTAGAGGATGTGGAAGAAGGATGAAAACAGCTGTTCCTGCTTCTTAGCAATGGAAGATTCTAACAGAGAAGTGAGGGGAGTACCAAAGCTTGCACCTAGGGTTCCTGCTCAACAATGTTCTTGAGACTTCTTGTGGGTTTGGCAAGGCAGAGAGAGTAGCTCTGCAGGGCTGGGTGCAGGGGTTAGCTAGAGGTGGGCTGCAAGTGCTGAGAAGTCCCTGTAGATCTCTGCTCTTTGCTGCTAAGATCAACCTTGATGGCACAGAGGGAGAAGCAACGTCATCTCTAGCCAAGCCTGATTGAAAAGTGGTTGAGTTGAGAGCAGCCCAGAAAGCAGATGAGCAAAAGCAAGCTATGACGGGTGAAGGTCGTCAGAACTCCCTCCTGCATCTCCACTAGAGGGCTGTGATGGCCGGGCCTGGAGGGCTGGATGCATGGCGCTTAGCATAAAGAAAGTCTCTGTGCTGTCGGCCCAGATGGTATGAATCAATGTGCAGGACTCTAAATATTACAAACTATGTAAAATACTGAGCCTGTTTCCACAGTTATGATCTGATTCCTTAACAGGATTTAGCATTTGCAAGTAACACTAGTTAACATATGGCAGGGGAGCGTAAAGCCAGTGTTTTGAATTTCTGCTCTTAAAATTGTAGGTTTATGAAGTGGTCTAGTTCCACTGGGGAGACCTGTACCATGGTAAACTAACGCATGCACTCCAGCCACCAGCAGAGTAGGAAAGAAAGTAAAGCTTACCCCAAGGCCTTATCTTGCTTTCCAGGCCTAGAGGCTGATCAGAGGTAGCAAAGGTAGGCTCTGGAAAGGTCTGGATCATGGCTGCTGATGGAGAATGATCAGGCCAGCTGCTGGAGACAACTGTTGTAAGTTGCCCTCTCCATGCTTTACTCCTTTTTCTTTTGGTTATGGCTTAATGATTCTTAAATTTCCTTCTTGGGAAGACTGGTCAGAAGCCTTGTGCTGGGGATTGTATCAACATCTAATGCCTAATGGTGATTCTTCCTAGTGTTAAAATACAAGCATCACTTAAGTAAATGCTGAAGTTGCAGAACAAAATGTAAGCGGAATAGTAACTATTAACATTATACTAATTTATTGTGAAATGTATTGCTTGAATTTCTACTGGCTAAATCACGAGTACTTTCTTCCAAGGCAGAGGAGAAAGCTGGGAGCCTTACATAATTGTTCATCTGGAATAATTGCTAAAGTAGGAAGTGTACATTGTGCTGTTGCAGAAAGAAAATTTTAGATTCTGAAAGTGGTCCAGATAAATCTTTCTAATGCGGGGATACTTCTTTTATGCTAATGTCTCTTCTAGTAGGGAATATGAATTCTGAAGGTTCCCAGTGAAGATATTGCCGGGGAAACAGCACTTGCTTGCCTAATGCGTGACATTGCTCAAAAGCAGAAATATATAATTCAGCTCATAAGCAGACAGCAATGTGCCTCAAGTACGCATGGGTGTATCTAAAATAATCTCTTTTAAATACTCTGGCTAATTCGTTGGTAAAAAGTTACATGAGAAAAGATGTGATGTTACCTGGCATTTAGCATTTCACGACCTTTTTTAACCAAGCCCAGATTTTGTGGTTTTGCATCTGTTTTCATAAAAGGTCAATGGTAATTGCTGAAGAAGCACTTAAGATGCTAGTATGAAATTTGAAAGGTAAGTAGAGAACACTTACGTTGCTTTTTAATGTTGAGTTTCTTAAAGGGTGAGCCTCACTAGCGAAGTGAAAATGAAAAGTAAGCACTGTTAAGCCAGTTTATGTTTGAGATATGTACTGACTGTCATGATGTAAGTCTAGCTTCTTGCAAAAACAAAAATCTGGGCAACATGCACTTTTGAAGTTGACAATAGCATATGTAACTACACAGTAAACTGCTTTTTGTACATGCTACATCCTAATTCAGCATAGGTTACATCTTGCTTTCTTGAAGCTCACGAAAATGTGATGCATTTCTAAGTTCTTGATTTTTGCCTTTCAGTTTTGAAGTAATACAAGTTCATCAGCAGCAAAACGTCTATTTAAAAGGAATGGCAGCAGAACAAGAGTGTTTCTTGGTGATCATCCCATGGACCAGTTTGATTAATCTTGACAAAATAATAACTTAAACCAAACTTCAAAACAGAAAATACACGTAAAAAAAAGCTTACTGCTTTGAAAGCAAAGTGAGCAATTTGATACACTTGCTGCCTATAAGACCATCTTGCTATCTCCAGCAGTTACTGTATTTTTTTTGGACTCTGGAATTCTGGCAGGCCTGGAATAGTACACAAGATTAATACAGGTTTCCTCCAGTTGCTGTGTATGACTTTATTGTGTAAACTGCCTGAATCCAAATACAGTTAATTACCAGCCACGATAGGTAGAAATTCTTTAAGTGTAGTCTTCTATGTGCTGTTACACATTCATTCCTGTTGATTGCTAAAAAGCACAATGATAATACCTCCGTATTTAAACTTCCTTAAACTGTATTTCACTAATCTACACATCCAGAAATGATAATGAGGTACTGTCAAGTCTTGGATTTGATACAGAATGGTGGTAAGTGAAATGCTTCGTTCTTCCCCAAATTTAAGGATTTTCCATTTTGGTTGTTCTTGTGGAGCTGAAGTGGGCCTTTGTAAGCAAGATGGCATTTCCCAACTTTGAAGACTTTAAAAGTCTCTAACTTCAGCTTGACAGAAACTACTACGGTTTGCATGAATTCACACATAAAAATGAGCACTTGGGCATTTCTGTGGCTTGTACCATTAAGTCTTAATCTGTGTTTTTATTGTTTAGACTCTGCTGGACTGAACTGCACCCTACTTGGTCTCCCCTAAAACCCAAGCAGTCTACTGGGACAAAACTGCAGCAATTGGTGTAACAGCAATTTAAGGGCTTGGAGTTCTTTCTCCTTCTTACCTGCATACATATTTCTTTTATTAAGAGGTCTCATCTCCAGTAACTCTGCAAGTCTTTGACATTGGTCCCTCAGACTGAAAAAATACTTCAGGTTTCATATAAAAGCCCAACTTGCTTTAAATGCTGCAATCTGATTCAGACCTTTTTTCCCCCCATACATATCTGAGTTGAAGAGAGCAATGATAAAAGCCCCTGTAAATCATGAAGATACTTTATCACATCAGGAAATATGTCTGAAGTTCTTCTGTTGTGTATTGCAAAGCTAATACTATCTTGGTAGCTATTACTTAGAATCACAGAATCATAGAATGGTTTGGGTTGGAAAGGACCTTGAGATCATCTAGTTCCAACCCCCCTGCCATGGGCAGGGACACCTCGCACTAAACCATGTAGCCCAAGGCTCTGTCCAACCTGGCCTTGAACACTGCCAGGATGTTCACTTGCTGAAGCCTGCTTTAAACTCAAATGACAGATGCATTAGTCCTGAAATGCAGCGTATCGACTCAGTGAGTCTCAGTGAAGAAATTTCCTGTGGGCAACAAGAAAACAACTTGTTCATGCTACAGCTTAGAGGCAGCATATCTTCCTCTGTCAGGACTAGCAACCCTGGCCAGTATCTGCAGAGGAGACAGAGGCAGGCCAGATCTGGTTTGGCCTGCGGAATGCCACAGACAAGACAAATGAACTGAGATGTATGTTGGGAAGGTCTGCGCTTAGACCAGTCACATGGCATTAGGAAAGTAGTGGGGCTTGCTATTTTGTGAGAGTTTCCTATAGGCTAATTCAGGAAGGGTTGAAAACTGTGAACAGACATGTCTATTTCCCTGCAATTCAGAGTAAAGCATCTGTTCCTGAAGATACTCACTGCTTATTCACCTCACCTCTCAAAAGTTCTTTTGAGCTACTTTAAGCAGTTCCTTTGACCATCATGGCTCTGAATCCTATTCACAATGCATAGCTTTTCCTTGGGCACAGTGAACTATTATATATCTGAATAGCTG